GAACTTAATGAATGAGCTAAGTAAACTGGAAATGTACTCTGCGTGCATACTTGGAATCATCATGTATGGTAAGATTCTCATAGGTTATTTTCTAGAGTTAAATATTCATTAAGTGCCCATTATGTGCACAGCATTGTAATTGGAGCTGGAGATACACTGGTGAGTAGAATAGGCAAGCTCCCTGTTCTTATAAACTTAAATTCTCTTAAATAGGTAGAGGGAGTTGAAAAATAAATACTGAATATGTACCAACATGCACAGATAAATACATACATTCAAAAATAGATGTATGAAAAAATGAGTAAGTAAACAAGAAAATATCAAATCATGATAGTGCTGTGCAGAGAATTAAAAGAGGAGTGATGTTCTGGAGATTGTCTAGGCGGTCATTTTAGGAGGGTTCTCAGGTACAGCCTATTTGAACAGGTGACATTTATGGTGAAATCTGAACATACGAGTAGAGGAGTATTTGAGGCAGATGGAACAGCTTGTGTGAAGCCCTAAGATAGCAACATTAAGAAGGCCATCATGGTTGGTGTGGTGCACAGGAAAATGGTAGTATGATTAATATCAGAAACAGGCAGATTCCTAAGGCTTTGTAAGACAGAGAAGGAATTTGGATTCACTTCCAGATTTGCTGAGAAGTCTTTGAGGGATTTTAAGGAGAGTAAAAGGGTAATTTGTGTTTTAGGGTGATTGTTTCAGTATCTACATGAGGATGGATTGTAGTGGGGCTAGAGTGGAAGTTGAGGGACTGGTAAGAAGGCAAGTGTGGTAGTCTAGGCAAGACATGAAGGCAGCTTGAGCCGTGCTATAGTAGAGATGGAAAGAAGATCCAGTGATTACTGGGTCAACATGTATGTGGCTTTTCAATTTTGCAAGTTGTTCCTCAAAAAGATTTTATTAATTTATACTCCTCAAATGGTATATGAGAGTATATTATAACAATGCAAAGCTGATAATTGTCTTAGAGAGCCACACTTCAATTTTATATAAGACTCAAATAAGGCCTGCTGATCTTACATGCACTCATTTAAAATGACAAGTTCCTTACCTAGGAAGGAACCCCAGGCTTCTGCCAAGTTCTCGTAGTCTATTATATACCATAATGTTTTCTCAGTGTTTCCCTTCTCTATGCTCTGTGTCCTTTTGTTTGACATTCCTCAGCAGGATCTCTCCATGTTGTATATGCATGCATATATAATCTCTTTCTTGTTTTAGATTATGAAGTCTGAGGGCATGTAGAACCTGCTAACCTAAGTGATAATGCTCAGCCAGACTGCTGTTATGAATCACCAGTGATTGCATGAACAAATCACTGAAACAAGAAACTGATCATTCATTATGTTTATTTTTCTACTACCATTTGGTCACTGAGAGTAGTGAATCCCAACAGTTCTACCATGATTATTGAATCTCTAGTTTCACATTTCAAGTTCTACTAGAGGAAGAATCCAGAGAATGTCTTCCAGCTGTATATTGTGGAAAAGATTTGAAATTCAGATTCAAGTTTTGGCTTTGCTCCTTTCTCATAGTGTGACCTTGGGCCTTTGTTTCTTCCTCTGTAAACCAGGCTAATGATAGGTACTTGTCTTCCTAGGTCACAAGATTTTCTGAGATTCTGGATGTTATATGTGAAAAGAACTTGTAAACTCTAAAATACACATAAGTGCTTCTATTTGATAAAAGCTATAGTTGATTGGAGCTCTTAACTATGTTGCAGATGCAGATACTTTTCTAAAATCTTCACTTGTATCAATTTATTATTCCTCATGACACTCTACTATACCCATTTTTCAGATAAAAAATGCAGGAGAGATTAAAGAACTTGTCTAAGGTCACACACCCAGCAGATGACAGATCTAGGACTTGACCTCAAGTAATTTTACTGTACAGTTCCTGTTTTTAATCATAATGCTCTGTTAGTACTTTGTAAAGTTGACACTATTAAAATATTCAGAGAACATGTATTAATACAAAATATATGCCAGGCACTGATGGTACAATAAAGAAAGGGCAAGTTTAGTTGTAGCCTTCTAACCATCTGTCTAGGAGAAGAATTTTTATTCTTTTTTTAAAAAAATTTTTTATTAAGGTATGATTGATATACACTCTTATGAAGGTTTCACATGAAAGAGCAATGTGGTTACTACATTTACCCATATTATCAAGTCCCCACCCATACCCCAATGCAGTCACTGTCCATCAGTGCAGCAAGTTGCCAGAGATCCACTGTGTCCCTTCTCTGTGATACACTGTTCTCCCCGTGATCCCCCACACCATGTGTACTAAACAAAATACCCGTCAGTCCCCTTCTCCCTCCCTCCCCACCCGCTCTTCCATGTCCCTCCCCTTTGGTAACCACTAGTTCAAAGAATTTTTATTCTTTAAAGAAAAAAACCTCATGCTTAAACAACTGTAGTGGCCCCTTACTTCATTAGTATGTGTGAATTAACAGATAATGAGTCAACATAATATAGATTAGCATACATTTTTTAAAAATAATCATCCTATGAGTAAATAGTCTTTGTTAACTAGGCCATGTTTTTTTCAGAAAATAACTTTCTGTTTCAACATTCTAAAGAGATTAATTTTTTTTCAAATAGATAAGCAATTATTTTAGTTTTCTTTCTTAGTATTTGTGGCTTTTCAAACACATTCAAGACTTCTGTCATATTTGAAGAACTCTGCTAATGGGACATCACTTTCAATTTTAATTTAGTGGTCAGTGTGACTTTTACTTAAAGAAATCTAAGATAAACATGTACAGGTGGGCTTACTAGCTATATATTTTTGTAACATAGTACCATGGAAACTGGATTTCTATGGCTTGATAGAAGGTCTCATCTTAAGCGGCAATGAAGTCTGAATTTTAAAACATTTAAAGAAATTTTCTTCGGTTCATGTCATGCAAATTCCTTCTCTTCTTGCACATATTTTTCTGCAATACTATAGATCATTATGCAAGACCATTTATGTAAGTGAATTGCTCAGTGATATTATCAGCCAAAATTGTAGGTTGAGGTCAAGTGATGTCAAGTCATTATTTAAAGAAACAAAGACAAAGGGGAAAAGACAGATTGTAGAGGAGAAATTTAATGCATTTTGACAACGTAAGTAGGCAGGTCAGTAAAGGATATGAAGCTCGAGTGATGTCATTATAATTGGCTTTAGTTCAGAAGTGGCAGGGTGGCAGTTAGCCAAAAAGGCACTTTGATGTTGTTTGTTTATATCTTTCTATTTAGCTATCCATATCCAGAAGCAGAGATTATAGTGGATGACTGAATATTGTGGTTACTGCCTTATTTTAAACTTTGCTTCTAAAATGCAATGACTGTCTTATTTAGAGCTTTCATTTTAAAGATGTATTTCCTCCCCTCATGCAGGTCTGTAGGACTCTCTATAATCTAGATACATTCAACTGCTGAAGAAGTATTTTTTGATGTAGTGGTGCCGATATAGATTTTGAGTATAGATAAAGTATTTAGGGAAGATTCCCATGATGTTTTTAAATCATAAAATAATCAGATCTTTGCAGCATTCAATGCAGATTCATGGGTGGTATTTATTCCAAGCCTATGAAGAGAGAGAAAGGAATCATGTGGAAAGATGTTTTCCTTTTTCAAATTCTCATTAGATTGCATTATGCACTTTTCCCCTCTGTAGGCCATGGCCGCCTAAATTGCTCTTACTCTTTGGGCTAAATCACATGTTTTTAGCAATTGATGGTTTCCTATTTGTTTGAGGTTTGTAAGTGAAATTTTTGTTGCATGCAGATATTATAAAGCAAACCTGTCCAACAGAAATATAATGCAAACTAAAAATATGAGCCACATGTTAAATTTTCAAGTAACCACATTTAAAAAATAAGTTAACATTAATTTAGTAATATATTTTCTTTAATGCAATATATTTAAAGTATTATCATTTAAAAATGTAACCAAAACAGCTCCAGTGCTGCTGCAGCTGATCTTGAGCCTACAACTGATGCCTATTGTCTTACTTCTCTTGTATCCATTCTGGATTCTCTTCACCCTTGGTTAACATTTTTGGTTGTCTAGGTGGCTTTTCTAGTGGGTGATCCTGACCATGTTCATCTCAGGCCATGCAGCCACCTAAATACTTACTGTCAAATCTGGACATAGGCATCCACTTGGTCTTTCCCATTGATGGTGCTTACCTGGGGTGAGGATAGGGATCTGCTAAATACTAAATATGTCTATTCCTATATAGTATGAAGGATAGAGGAAACAATTACTGGGTTGTTTCATGGCCCCACTGCACCCATTATAAATTTGGCCTTGTGAATCTAATTATTACTGTGTTTCCCCACTTGAACATGGAGTCCTGGATGACTTCTGGTTCATTAAAAAAACATATGACTTTAAAATTTCTGGGTTTTCTCTTTCTCTAGTGTAGAGTCACCTGAGAGAAACATTATAGATTTCTGTGAAAGAAGAACTGGTTGACTCATTACCGTATAATGTTGCCTTGATATTGCATGGTGATTCCTTTTGGATTCTTGACCTCTTCTTCAGTTTCTGGAGGCTCATTTAGGAGGCTGGGGTAGACCTTGAAAGGGACATGTGTTGTCTTGAAAGGCAGAAGTATCTGCATTGTCTTCAAGTAAGGGGGTGTGGGTGGTTGCTGGTTTTTAACAAGGAGGAATGGACACTATTTCTGATGGGCCCAGGAGGGACAAAGGAGTCTGGGTGTTCAGGGGTTATGAGTGCCAAGTCCTAGACATTCCCATTCCAGGTTTACTAATCCAGGTCGTGGTCTTGGCATTGGTTAATCACCTATTTTAAAGTTTAACCTTCTCTAGAGTTCTGCTAATTTTATAATTCAGTTCTGGGAAAAACCCTCAGGGTTCTTTGCCTTTCATCTACAGTATAGCAGATATTCTTTATGTGCAGCCAAGGAATTCCTCTGGTTTTCATACTTTACTTTAGATTGATGATTAATTACCTCTAACTTTTCATTGTATTTTTTTTCTTCAGTGAATTGATAGCCCCCAGCAACATCCATTCCTTCCACAGTCCCTGTAAGTATTACTTCCTCCAAATCTCTCCAATGCCTGCAACTAGTGCTTTCACTTCCAATCCAGTTCACCCTAAGTGAAAATTTTAACAATTGCATTGCTGTAGTATGCCAGGGGCTATGCACATTCCACCTAGCACCAGTAGCAGGGTCCTAACTGCTAGTCATCAACAGATGATTCAGCATCAAAATCCCACTGTAGAATCTGCTTCTTAGGACCTCTGACTCTACTGCTTTAGATCACTATTCCTGGAAACAGATTTTGAGATGGAGATTTGCATGTGGGAATTTTATTGGTGAAAGCTCTCAGGAATTGGATTTGAAGGCATTGTAAGTAGTAGAATTAAGGAGAGGGAAAAATTGAAATTGTCTCATAGTTGCAATAAATAAGTTCTGGAGGTCATGTGGCTTTTAAATTGTCCCTAATTAAGGCATAGGGGATTGGTCCTTTCATCTGCAGCCTCCTCCCCTTACCAGTTAACCAGTCATTGGGTGTGGACTGTCCCTGGGAAAGGGGCATGACCTTGGGTTGAATTGCTGCAGATTCCAGGAAGGGAACTCAGCTATGAGCTATCAGCAGCCTTTACTTCTGGAAGGTGGGGTGTCAGTGCCTTGGTCTAGGAGGGCATTTGTGAGTGCCGCAATCCAGATCCATCCCATCAGATCCTAGGCATAGAGTGATTAGCTTCTGTGTAAAACATCAGAGTGTCCAGAACCGCCCTGTCAGCCTTTGTCCTCAAGGTAAGAGGCAAGAGACTCCTGGTGGCAACATCTGGAAAGTTAAGTCCCAGACTTTGTGTCTTGCACCCCTTTCCATACCTGGATATTAAGAGTGAAATTCCCTAATGATTACTAAAATTCTCTTCTGATCAGAGGGGAAGGTATGTTTCTACAAATTTGCACTTTCACAATCTGAAGGCCCTCTCCCATTATAACACTCAAAGGCTGGCATAGTTCATGCTGAGCAGGTAGGCAATCACTGATGTATTTCTATCAATAAATGGTGAAAATATCTCAATGGAGATTAAATACTCAAACATATGTGCAAAATTTATGATGGAGGCATCACCTGACAGAGAAGTCTCCCATATCAGGCAACCCATTCAGTATAACAGTTGTACATAAATGACTTAACCAAGGACACAACATACTGCAATTACAGAAATAGATACATTATATGTCCACTGGACTATCCCTGCAACATATTATCTCTCTGGACTAATAATCTTGACTCCTTTGACTTCAAATAAAAATTAGATCATGAGCCAGTTGATCAAATATGAAACAGAGTATGTCCATTTTTTCTATGATTAATATTGTGATTTCATTTTGTGATATATTTAGGTGCAATCTTCTGTCACAGACTTCAGTCATTTACATAACTTAAGGATAATTTCTTTTGGGCACTAAGCCACATCAACCATCAAGTTCTGAAATTTTTGAAGTTTTTTTGACAGTGAGAAATTTCAGTGCGAGAAACAAATAATTATTTGATATAAAATCTTGGTACAAAATTGTTCCATTTTTTTCTTCTCCTCAGTTTCTTCTGTCCTTTCTTCCTGCCTTATTTACTGAGTGAAAAGCATGGACAAGCGTACAATTAACTCAAATACAAATGGGCAGTGTCCTATTTGTAACTTTTGGAAGAGAGTGAAGAAATGAACATTGAAGGGTCATGTTTTAAATCCAAATAGAGGTATTTCTATTCATAGAATGCTAATGTTAATTTACTATATAGCTGTTCCATACTTTTTAATAGCTGTATGAATATATTTTATTTATTCATATATATACAAAATATAGAAGAAATAACCTCTTTATTAATCTCCTAGGATGTTTAGACACAATATCTCACCGTACTCAAGACACAATACTTAACCAGTATTAGGCAAGGTCTGAAGTTGTTAACAGCAAAGAGACTTACAGACTTAGGGTTTTTCTTTTTCTTTTTTCCTTTAGGCAACTTACTTTAAAGCCCTCTTTTCTGTCCTTATCTTATTTTCTTTTCTCTGATGAATTTGAAAATTTGATTGTTCTCTCTTTAGCATTTTTTTCCTCCTCTTCTATTTTTTGTGCAGCTCTGGTCTCTGGATTACCTTCCCATCTCCCTTTTATTTCTTGTTTCTTCTAGTAATTTCTCCTTCTCTATCCTTTAAATACAGGTGTTATCCATGGTTCTGCCTTTTCCCCCTCTCTGCTTTATGTTTCTCTCCACTTTCTGCCTTTGCTGCTTCATCCACTTCCATGACTACAGCATGACCTATATACTAATGACCTCCCAGAAGTCTAACCATCTTCACAAGGATGTATTACAGGGTTCTCATGTTCTATCCCAAATTCAATCACTATATATATGGTGAAAGTTCAGTTTGAATAGTCACAATTTGGGAGGCAGAAATGTAACTTTGTGTTGTATAATACTTCATTTTCCCCCCCAAAGACATCATATATATTTGAAAGACAATAGTTTCAAAGTCATTTCCCAAACTCAATATCTATGGGCCAGGATACACACCTTAAGTAAATGACTGAGGTCCTCATTAATTATTCATTTATTAAATGAGATTTTAAATTAACCAGTTATGTGGAGTAGTGTTTTTCCACATTGCTGTGATAAGAATCAGTTGGAGTTCTGGAGGCTAATTAATTCCACTAATTATTAGGGTGAGCTTGGTATGGGCTAGTAACTTGAGAACTTTTTTGTTTACAGATATCAGTAAGTGATTACTGTAATGAAGGAAATTTGGGAAACATGATCATTTTTAAATTTCCTTTGCAAATTTTAAGTTTTTAACTACTGGTCCCAAAATGACTCCTGGAAGCCTTAATCCAGTCCAGTTTTGGGAAAGGATAAAAAAAGTTTTCTGAACGTTTGGTTTGATGACTTCTCCCCTTTGGAAGGATCACAGATACTTTATTGTGGTTGTGTCCTGGAAGATACTGATTCTTATTTCTATTCCTGGCCCAGCTTTTCTAGATCACATTTTCCTTTGAGGGTCTGTCTTCTTTGAGTTGAGGTACAGCAACCCAATTAAATCATTAAAAAAATTAGTTTTTTATTACAGAATTGTCACATTAAATGACCTCTGCTGGTTTCTGTCTTGTTGCCTTCTCTCCTGAAACTGAGGAAATTAGGGTGCTTTATATAAACTTAGTATTTTGGCCTTTCCACCTTAAATCTCATATTGATGGCTCTGTGTATGTCTGGATCTCATTGTTTTCTTTAACTGGTCCACTTCCCTTTGGCGTCCTGGTCAAGATAATATCTCCTTCCAAGGTCATTACCTTGTACGAATCTAATGATGTGGAGGATGTTTCGCCTTCCTGCCTGAGTTTGCCATTGACCTGAGCCAGAGTTTCTGGTTGTGAGGGTCAGGGATCTTCAGTTTGGTCATGAACGTCCTCACTGGGGCAAAGACTGTGAGGCTCTTGGCCAGAGTTCAGAGCAACCCCTTTTTCTTGCATTTGTCCTACACATCTCTGGTGGTCATGTCCAGGCACACACATGGCTGGCCATGTAGTCCATGACTGTGGCCTCTGGGAAGGTGCAGCTCTGCTTACCCATCACCTTGCCCAGCTCCAGCTCACGGTACAGGCTCCATTATAGGTGGGTGTGAAGATGGCCCAACCCTCGGTGACGTAGTGGGTGTACAGCTTTAGGAGAAACATTGGCTCCGCTCAGCATTGCTCTCTGCATCACCCAGGTGAAGTCTGGTAGTCCCTGCCCATGCATACGATATTCTTTCCCTGCTCCTGGAGGCTGCACAGCTGCCTGAGGGCTGCCAGGGCTCTAATTAGTACCCCTTGAGCCCTGTTGACTTTGCCAGGCCTTGTCACCTAATGCCTACAGCTACCCAGAGAGGACCACCAACCTTGGAGCATTGTCTCGTCCACAGGGGACTGTTCCCCTTGACACTCGGGAGAACGAGCAGGAGCCACAGCACTTGGACTTTTGGAAACAGCTCTGCACTGAGTGGCTTTGGGACACTCGTCTGTTCCCTGGAGAAAGCAGGAGGCTCTGTAGTATCTCATTTTGTTATCAGGTTTGAGGGTAGATGTCATGACCTCCTGCCTTTTAAACATATGTCAATCTGTTCTGAATATTAGTCTTATTTTTTCTGGTACTTTCTCAGTCTCTCAATTTTTCCTCGTAATCTGAAGGAAATTGCCTCTCTCTTTCCTCCTTCCCAAGAAGGCATTTGGGTGTGGAAGGAAGCTTTTATATGCTTAAGGCATTGGGGGAGGGGCACCTGGACTTTGTTACACAGATGTCCAGCCAACCTCACCTGGTTTTTGGTGCCAGTCTGTGTGTCTTCTGCAGGGTAGACTGGCCTATTTGGTCTGTCAGTATTCTGAGCTGGTCTCCACTGAGTTGTGAATTGTTCCACTATGTTTTGAGGTGTGTTCTCTCGATTTCCAGGTTAGGCCTGGGGAAGGATCAGCTCTAAGATTTCTAGATCTATCCTTTTCCTCCCCCACAATATATACAAGTGTGTTTCTGTCACTTCCATTTCCCACAGGGGTTTTGATTTCAGCACACGTCAAGTCTCAGCATTTAAGTCAGGGTCTTAGAAGATGTAGAGGTGGCATCCTCTAACTGGACAATTTCAGAAGACTTTAACAGAGGGACTGTTTATTAAGGTGTGAAGAAACTGGAGGGACAGTGCAGGACTTAGGCTACAAAAAGCAGGATGCCCGGGTGAAAGCTACAGGTCTTTGGTGGGTGCAGATAGCCTGTGACAATCCCTAAGAAAAGAGATAGTAAGTACCCTGACCCCTCTCCACTCTCTGATCTTTTCTAGGTGCTCTTTATTGGCTAAATCCAACAAGAAGCCAGTGGGAGGAGAGCCTGTAAATGCAGCCCATCAATTAATGCAATCCAGCCAATCTCCTGGGCCCTGGAGCAGGTGGAGAGTGGATTTGAAAGCAAAGTGGAAGATACCCAGCAGACAGCTCCCTGGCATGGTGTTAAACGCATAACACTAGGATTGAGAAAAGGTCAGAGAAAATTCTGGTGTGTGTGTGTGTGTGTGTGTGTGTGTGTGTGTGTCGTGTGTGCATGTGTGTGTGTGTGTGTGTGTGTGTCTGTGAGAGAGACACAATTAAATTTTTTTCAAAACTTTTCTCTTTCTACATTATCTGTATGCAACCTAGGAATGGCCCTTGATTTATCTCTCTGTTCCTCTCTCTCCTCTTACCATAGCCAGTAATTATACTTAACAGTTAGTGAATCACTGTGGCCAGAATGGTGCTGGGCACTTTACATAAAATATCAAGTTCAGTCTTACTCAGGAGACACTACTTAACTGATAGACAACTGAAGCATAAAGGAATTAATGTTCCCATGGTCCTACAATGGTAGAACTAGATACAAACCTTGGAAATCTAGTTTCAAACCCTCCTTTATTGGCCTCCACAGAATATTGCAATCAAGCAAATTGTCAAATTCATGTGTTGAGTCTGTCACCCTTTCTTTATATCCATTTGGGTTTAAGGAAAATTCTTCTATAATGAGTGCACATATTCCTTTTTTTTTCTGTCTCCGATCCATACTCTTTATTGCTATTTGAGTTATGTTTCTAAAATAAGTCAGCAAAACTGATCATGTTACTCTTTGCTTAAATCCCCTTGTTAGTTCTGTCTTCATAATAGGATGAACACTATATGGCTTCCTAAGCATGTGAAATTGGCCATGATCTGGGACCAGTCTTTATTGGTTCATTGGTACTTTATTGGTTACTTTTTTTTTTTTTTTTTTTTTTTTTCTAACCTTCTCTTTATGTATACTCAGACATCCTTTCCTTTAATGATTTGGACTTTTTGTAATTTCCTGATCATATTAGATTATTTTATGTGTCTTTTATTCATTTGTGTTTTTGCCAGAATGCTCAATCTACCACCATTATTTTTTACTGTTGGTTTCTTATATATGCTTCAAGATTCCAAATATTATCTCCTTGGTGATGTTTTTAATTTTTTAACTTTTTAATTTTGGCATCATTAATATACAATTACATGAGCAATATTGTGGTTACTAGATTCCCCCCCTTATCAAGTCCCTACCACATACCCCATTACAGTCACTGTCCATCAACGTAGTAAGGTGCTATAGAGTCACTACTTGTCTTCTCTGTGCTATACTGCCTTCCCTGTGCCACTGCACCAGATTTTGTGTACTAATTGTAATGCCGCTTTTCCCCCTTATCTGTGCTTTCCCACCCACCCTTCCCAGTCCCTTTCCCTTTGGTAACTGTTAGTCCATTTTTGGGTTCTGTGAGTCTGCTGCTGTTTTGTTCCTTCAGTTTTTTCTTTGTTCTTATACTCCACAGATGAGTGAAATCGTTTGGTACTTGTCTTTCTCCACCTGGCTTATTTCACTGAATACAGTACCCTCTAGCTCCATCCATGTTGTTGCAAATGGTAGGATTTGTCTTCTTATGGCTGAATAATATTCCATTGTTTATATGTACCACATCTTCTTTATCCATTCATCTACTGATGGACACTTAGATTGTTTCCATATCTCAGATATTGTAAATAGTGCTGCAATAAACATAGGGGTGCATATGTCTTTTTCAATCAGGGATCTTGTTTTCTTTGGGTAAATTCCCAGGAGTGGAATTCCTGGGGCAAATGGTATTTCTATTTTCAGTTTTTTGAGGAACCTCCATATTGCTTTCCACAATAGTTGAACTAATTCCCACCAGCAGTGTAGGGGGGTTCCCCTTTCTCCACATCCTCACCAGCATTTGTTGTTGCTTGTCTTTTTTATGTTAGTCATCCTCACTGGTGTAAGATGATATCTCATTGTGGTTTTAATTTGCATTTCTCTGATGATTAATGATGTGGAGCATCTTTTCATGTGCCTGTTGGCCATCTGAATTTCTTCTTGGGAGAAGTGTCTGTTCAGATCCTCTGCCTATTTTTTAATTGGATTATTTGCTTTTTGTTTATTGAGGTGGGTGAGCTCTTTATATATTTTGGATGTTAGTCCCATATCAGATATGTCATTTATGAATATATTCTCCCATACTGTAGGATGCCTTTTTGTTTTGCTGATGGTGTCTTTTGCTGTACAGAAGCTTTTTAGTTTGCTTTTGTTTCCCTTGCCTGAGGAGATATGTTCATGAAGATGTTGCTCATGTTTATGTCCAAGAGAGTTTTGCTTATGTTTTCTTCTAAGAGTTTTATGGTTTCATGACTTACATTCAGGTCTTTGATCTATTTCGAGTTTACTTTTGTGCATGGAGTTAGGAATTAATCCAGTTCATTGTCTTACATGTAGCTGTTCAGTTTTGCCAACACCAGCTGTTGAAGAGGCTGTCATTTCCCATTGTATATCCATGGCTCCTTTATTGTATATTAATTGACCATATATAGTTGGGTTAATATCTGGACTGTATTCTGTTCCACTGGTGTATGGGTCTGTTCCTGTGCTGGTATCAAATTGTCTTGATTACTATGGCTTTGTAGTAGAGCTTGAAGTTGGGAGGCGAGATCCCCCATGCTTTATTCTTCCTTCTCAGGATTTCTTTGACTATTTGGGGTCTTTTGTGGTTCCATATGAATTTTAGAACTATTTGTTCCAGTTCATTTAAGAATGCTGTTGGTATTTTGATAGGGATTGCATTGAATCTGTAGATGGCTTTAGGCAGGATGGCCATTTTGACAATATTAATTCTTCCTATCCAAGAGCATGGGATGAATTCCCATTTATTAGTGTCCTCTTTAATTTTCTTGTCTTGTAGTTTTCAGGTATAGGTTTTTCACTTCCTTAGTTAAGTTTATTCCTAGGCATTTTATTCTTTTTGATGCAATTGTGAATGGAATTGTTTTTCTAATTATTCTTTCTGCCAGTTCATCATTAGTGTATAGGATTGCAACAGATTTCTGTGTATTACTTTTGTATCCTGCAACTTTGCTAAATTTAGATATTACTTCTAGTAGTTTTAGAGTGGATTCTTTATGTTTTTTTTTATGTACAATGTCATGTCTTCTGCAAACAAGGACAGTTTGGCTCTTTCTTTGTCAACCTGGTTGCTTTTTTTTTTCTTTTTGTTGTCTGATTGCAGTGCCTAGGACCTCCAGTACTATGGTGAATAAAAGTGGGAGAGTGGGCATCCTTGTCTTGTTCCAGATCTTAGGGGAAAATCTTTCAGTTTCTCACTGTTAAATATGATGTTGGCTGTGGGTTTGTCATATATGGCCTTTATTATGTTAAGGTACTCCCCTCTATACCCATTTTGTTAAGAGTTTTTATCATGAATGGTTGTTGAATTTTGTTGAATGTTTTTCAGTATCTATGGAGATGATTATGTGGTTTTTGTCCTTCTTTTTGTTGCTCTGGTGGATGATGTCGATGGATTTTCGAATGTTGTACCATCCTTGCATCCCTGAGATGAATCCCAATGGATCATGTTGTATGATCCTCTTGATGTGTTTTTGAATTCAGTTTGCTAATATTTTGTTGAGTATTTTTGCATCTATGTTCATCAGGGTTATTGGTCTGTAGTTTTCTCTTTTTGTGGTGTCTTTGCCTGATTTTGATATTAGAGTGATGCTGGCTTCATAGAATGAGTTGGGAAGTATTCCCTCCTCTTCTATTTTTTGGAAAACTTTAAGGAGATTGGGTATTATGTCTTCTCTAAATGTCTGATAAAATTCAGCGGTAAATCCATTTGGTCCAGGAGTTTTGTCCTTGGGTAGTTTTTTGATTACTGATTCAATTTCATTGCTGGTAATTGATCTGTTTAGATTTTCTGTTTCTTTCTGGGTCAGTCTTGGATGGTTGTATTTTTCTAGAAAGTTTTCTATTTCTTATAGGTTATCCAGCTTGTTAGCATATAATTTTTCATAATATTCTCTAATAATTCTTTGTATTTCTGTGGTTTCTGTTATGATTTTTCTTTTCTCATTTCTGATTCTGTTTATGTGTGTAGATTCTTTTTTTCTCTTAATAAATCTGGTTAGGGGTTTATCTATTTTGCTTTTTTTCTCAAAGAACCAGCTCTTGGTTTCATTGTTTTTTTTCTATTGTTTTATTCTTCTGAAATTTTATTTATTTCTTCTCTGATACTTATTATGTCCCTCCTTCTTCTTACTCTGGGCCTAATTTGTTCTTCTTTTTATAGTTTCAATAATTGTGAATTTAGATTATTCATCTGGGATTGTTCTTCCTTCTTGAAACAGGTCTGAATTGCGATTTACTTTCCTCTTAGGACTGCCTTTGTTATGTCCCACAGAAGGTGGGGCTTTGTGCTGTTGTTTTAATTTGTCTCCATATATTGCTTGATCTCTGTTTTAATTTGGTCATTGTTCCATTGATTATTTAGGAGCATGTTGTTAAACCTCTATGTGTTTGTGAACCTTTTTGTTTCTTTGTACAATTTATTTCTAGTTTTATACTTTTGTAATGTATGTTGTGGGTTGGTAGATTTTCAATCTTTGAATTTACTGAGGTTCTTTTTGTTGCATAGTATATGGTCTATTCTGGAAAATGTTCCATGTGCACTTGAGAAGAATGTGTATCCTGCTGCTTTTGGATGTAGAGTTCTGTAGATGTCTATTAGGTCCATCTGTTCTGCTGTGTTGTTCAGTGCCTTTGTGTCCTTACTTATTTTCTGTCTGGTGGATCTGTCCTTTGGAGTGAGTGGTGTTTTGAAGTCTCCTAAAATGAATGCATTTTATTCTATTTCCTCCTTTAATTCTGTTCGTATTTGTTTCACATATGTAGGTGCTCCTGTATTGTGTGCATAGATATTTATAATGGTTATAACCTCTTGTTGTACTGACCCCTTTATCATTATGTAATGTCGTTCTTTGTCTCTTGTTACTTTCTTTGTTTTGAAGTCTATTTTGTCTGAATCAAGTACTGCAACAACACCTGCTTTTTTCTCCCTATCATTTGCATGTAATATCTTTTTCCATCCCTTCTCTTTTAGTCTGTGCATGTCTTTGGGTTTGAGGTGAGTCTCTTGCAGGCAAGAT